AAATCCTCACACTGTAGAGGGGCAGGCCCGACGCAGCTCGGGGCGTCGGCAGCCAGGCCCGCTCGGGGGGACTCGCGGAGAGCCCCTCCCTGGGGGGTCCTCGTCGGGCGGCGGCGGGCACCTCTCGCGGGTGCACGTTTGGGGACCACTTTTTCCTTCGCGCCGCGAGAGCCAATCGTAGTGAAGCGAGACATTTGTACACGTGGAACCAGCCGAGCGGGGAGCAAACCCAAAACTTGTTGAAAAGGCGTTCCACTGAGGCCAGGCGCTCCCGTTATTGAAATTGCGCTCCGGCTCCTGGGGGAGGGGGGGGGCGAAGAGGACCTTGAGTGGACGTACCTGCGTGCGTGTGCTGGCTATGTGCGATCTTGAATGGAAAGTGGAGGTGGAGAAGAGGCAACACCCTAAACCTCAAGTGCGCCGCTGCTCACAGCTTCTAATTTACTCAAACTTGCACGTCCGTGGCGCCTGCAGCGGCCAGCCTGTCGGGTAGCCGAAACTGTTGAGCCAGCAGGTCAGATGGTCGTCGCACGTGATGACCTTGTATGGGCATGCGTTCCAAAGGCTAGGGCAAGTGTCTCCTGGCTGGACGACGAAGGGGTTGCTGCACCTCGAGCGTTTCTGCACATTCAGCAACGCGGTCTCTTCCATCTCGTCATCACCTCCATCGGCGGAACAAGTCGCCGGCGCCCCTGGGCTTGCAGCAACCGTAGCGGCAAGCAGACCGGCGAGCAGGAGGCACGTAGGGAAGGCGCCTGCTTTGCTCGGCAGCACCATGCCACCGAGGCGCCACGCCGCGGCGCCTGCGGCAGGCGAGGAAGGGGCCGAGATCGCGACGGTTGCTTGCACCAGGCCGTGCTCGAGACCAAATGGCGACGGAGGCTGCGTTTGGGGCATCCCAGAGCCTCTCTTGAAGCCTCTGCAATGCCTCGGGGTCTTCGCAAGACTGACCCCAAGACGACGTCATCGAGGGGCGTCGCGCGGACCGGCGGCGCCGACCGAGCGCTTTTCCCAACCATCCTGTCCTCGTTTTGAAGAGACGGTGGCCCGCGTCTCCCCTCCTCTCCTCCTCTTCCCTCCTCCTCCCTCCTGTTCCCTCCTCCCCCGCTTCCCTGCGTTTCACCCACCCAGTACAGCGTTGTGTGGCCCCATAGGGAGCTCCACCGAAGGCTCCAGTGGCAGCGTTCGCATGGCGGCCCCGCCCCATTTCGGCACACCCCTCACGAGGATCGTGGCCCCATAGGGAGCTCCACCGAAGGCCCCAGTGGCAGCGTTCGCATGGCGGCCCCGCCCCATTTCGGCACACCCCTCACGAGGATCGTGGGCCATAGGGAGCTCCACCGAAGGCCCCAGTGGCAGCGTTCGCATGGCGGCCCCGCCCCACTTCGGCACACCCCTCACGAGGATCGTGGCCCCATAGGGAGCTCCACCGAAGGCCCCAGTGGCAGCGTTCGCATGGCGGCCCCGCCCGATTTCGGCACGCCCTTCACGAGGATCGTGGCCCCATAGGGAGCTCCACCGAATGCCCCAGTGGCAGCGCTCGCATGGCGGCCCCGCCTCATTTCGGCACACCCCCCATAGGGAGCTCCACCGAAGGCGCCAGTGGCAGCGTTCGCATGGCGGCCCCGCCCCATTTCGGCGCACCCCTCACGAGGATCGTGGCCCCATAGAGAGCTCCACCGAAGGCCCCAGCGACAGCGTTCGCATGGCGGCCCCACCCCATTCTGGCGCACCCCTCGCGAGGATCGTGGCCCCATAGGGAGCTCCACCGAAAGCCCCAGTGGCAGCGTTCGCATGGCGGCCCCGCCCCATTTTGGCGCACCCCTCACGAGGATGGTGGCCCCATAGGGAGCTCCACCGAAGGCGCCAGTGGCAGGGTTCGAATGGCGGCCCCGGGCCACTGCGGCACATCCCTCACGAGGATCGTGGCCCGATAGTTGTGCTGCTTCAACAACCGCGCCTGGGCGTCGTACTCCGCCTTGTCGACGTGCAACGCCACGTCCTCCCTCATGGCTCTCAAGGCCCTCTCTTGCTTCTGCTCCTCTGCGAGAGGGACGCCGTCCTTGTCGTCGTCGGCGCCCGCGAAGACGGCCACGAACGTGCCCCTGAGCATGTCGGGTTCCGGCGGGAAGCCGTGGCCACATAGGGAGCGCGGGTAAAGATGGTATCTACTATTGCGGTATTCACAACTGCAGATGGTTGGGTCCTTCGCCAAGCTAATTTCTGCTTTGTGCGAGCCGACACTGTTTGCCATGCGGCACATATCCGCCGCCGCGCCCCCCTGGGACGTCGGGGCGTGCTAGGATGCCGAGTGCTGTCTGATGCAGTGCGGGCGCGGCCGCGAGCAACCAACGCAAGAAACCCAGTCCTGAAAACCCGCTCGCGAGGTGCACCCGAGGGGAAGCCCGAATCACCCTGAACGCAGCAACTTCTTCAACGGCTGCGGAAAGTCACCGCGCAGCGCGCGGAGCGAAGAGACCCAGGATACCCTGACGAAAAGCATATGGCTTCTTGATGCGCGCTCCCACTGTAGGGTATCTGAAATCTTCTAGGGCCCCCCCTCTCTCGCCACGCTGCGCCGCCCCCATTCTCGATGCCACAACCCCTCGCAACATGCCATTGATTTGTGCCTCCGAGGCCACAACCCCTCGCAACATACGACTGGATCACGCTCCCGCCCAAGACGGCTCCAAGACGGCACACTTTGGCCTCAACACGGCCGAATATGGCTTCAAGACGGTCACAAAAGCCATGCAGACCGCCGAAGAAGGCTCCAAGAGGACGCTCTGGAGGTCTGTCTGGAGGGCCCAAAGATAGCCCAAGAGGGTCTCAAGGGACCCCCAAGATTGCTTAAAATTTTGCCAAAGACATCCTCAAAACTTAGTCCTGGAGTGCACTATATGCGGGCCGACGGATCGCCCCAGTGTGCACCACTAGTGGGGCTGTGCGGAACCTTCCTTCTCATCTCTCCTTCTCTCCCAAGACCTCCCCACCCCCCGTCGGCGCACTCCTGGCATTTGGGTTGACCTCCCCCCTCGCCCCCCTCCTGAGGTCTCGACCAGGGCGTGGCGCACCACGCGTGCGAGGGACGCTGTGCGCGCGGGCGCGCGTGGCCTCTGTATGGGATCCAACTCTTGACGCTTGACGTATCCCCGCCAGTCCATCCAGACCCACGCCCCTCCTTCAGACAACTATCGTGGGCACCAATTCCAGATCGGCAAGTTCCCTCGCTAAATCCTCTTTCTTCTGCTCGTCCTCCTCCTCCTCCTCCACCTCCTCCTCCTCCTCCTCATTGGCCCTGGACGCAGTTCACTGCTGGACTACATGCCGCTGCACTTCCCTGGCCAGGGCAACTCGCCAAGGGATCGTTCCTGGACGGGCTGGTGGGGACGCGCACTTGCTCGTCAGAACATGGGGGGCGCGACCCTCTGCATCGCATAACTCAATGTCGCGGCGGGACCTCGGCGACGATGCGACGAAGGTGACGATGATGCTTGGACATGGAATGACGCCTGCGTCATCAACAACCTTCGAAGGGCGACCCCTCCCGCGCAATATTGTTTTGAGGCCAAACACTGCAATGAAGATCCTACTACGCAAACAACAACCCGTGCGTGTCTCAAGGCTGCGTTGCCTCGGCTGTCTTCACTACAGCAGTTCCAGTTCCCAAGGTGTAGGTATACCTCCTCCTCCTCCTCCTCCTCCTCCTCCTCCTCCTCCTCATCCTCTAGGTATAGATGTATCAGGCTCGAAGTACAATGTTGCAATGATTGGAGTCGGCGCGAGCGGAGGAGCCCGAACAACCAGCGGACTCCCCCTACCATAACCACGCTGCTCTACCAACATCACGTGGCCCTGGGACCCATCAAATACCACGGACTCGCGCCCCCGAGGCCACAACCGCTTGTACACTGCAACGCACCCGTGCCCCCGACGTCACAAACTTTAGATCATTGAGGAGTCGAGCTCCGGAGACCACCTGGCTTTGAAAATGACAGCGCGCTCGCGCGCCCGATGGCACAATCCTTTTCAAATTACTTCAGAGTCACGCTCCCGAGGTCACAATCTCTTGTAGCTTAGGCGCCCTCGCGTTCCCGAAGCAGGGCGTTGCAAATCACGACGGCTTCGCCACAAGCCGTGGTAAATAGCAGAGGAACCGTGCTCCGAAGGCCAACATCACTTGTACATCACTGCCCTTCGCGTTCCCGAGGCGAATGCTGCGCAACTCTCCCTCCACAGAAAAAAAACAAACTGTCATTTTCTGGATTGGGATATGTGGTCGGGGAGCCCTTTTCAAACCCTTCGTCTTTGCCTCAGAATTCGGCTCCCGACCCGAGGCCACGGATCCTCGAAAAAAGATAAGGATGCGCGCTCCCGAAGCCGCGAACCCTATACAGGAATTACAGTGGAAGCGCGCTCCCGAGGCCACCATACCTTACGAATTGTTGACGCGCGCAATAACAAGCCAGTCAGCAATCAGCCGAAATCGACTGCCAACCATCAATTTAGACATGCCAATCAGCCGAGTTGCAACCCAACCAACCGACAATAAAGCCAACAATCATACCGATCAAGCGCGGGCATGCAAGCAATCTGAGGGGGGCCGGTGGCAGCGGGCGAAATCCTTCATGCAAGAGCACGATGCGAACTGGATGGACGGGAGGCGAGACACAGCAGCTTGAAGAAAGCTCGCATCAAAGCGACCTTGAGGTGGAGCAGGTTGGGCAACATAGAACCAAGCACCTGTTCCCACGGATGCGTGATCGATATCTGAGATGGGCAGGAGACTGGTTGCCATCTCAGCAGAGGTGCTTCCGCACACTATGGCAAGCTCGCTCAACCACCAGACCTCACGCAAGTGTGCACGAAGACAAATGCGCAACATAAAATGACGGTGCTCGCGCAAATCTGTATAGCATTCGATTCGGCCCTCCCGCTTCGCGCTCTCGGAAGTGGCCGCCAGCCAAGGCGCATGGCTTCGCGAGGTTGCGCTGTCGGGGCCCGCTGAACTTCGGACTGCAGTTCCAGGCCGCCGCTGACCTCGGCGACCTCGCCATGCGACAATCGCGGGACGCACTCGGCTCGAGAGTGGGGTGTGTCGCTCCCCCCCAAGGGAGCAAAGCTACTTTCCACAACCACTACAGGCAAGTCAGAAGAAATGACCAGACCAAGCAAGAAAACTGTGAAGCAAAGTAGATTGGGACTCGGCCCGCCGAACTAATAGGCGAGACGACTGGGACGCCATCGATTCTTGAAGTAGGATGGCGCGTGAAGTAGACTGGGATCGAGGAGTCCAGGAATCCATAGTGTCAGCGAGCGGACAGCTCGCAAAAGTGCCCCACAGAGTACACACCACCACCATCACACCTGGCTTGCCTCTGCCACCTCATCCGATCACTCGCCTGGAGCCCGACTCCGCCCGCATGGATCGCCGTCATCGGCCGATCCCTGGAGGATCTCTGGCAAATCAGTTGGCTCAAGTCTGATGCGCCCCCTTGCGCGGTGCCACCATTTGGCCTCAACTCTCAAATGGAAGGGGCAGATTTAAATGATCTTCCCCTTTCCCGCGCACCCCGGGAGAATCGACGCCTGCTCAGGAGGCTGCCTGCACACAACACATTCGAGCCCCCTCTGGCAAGATCACGTGCCTCGACATTGTGCGTCAGCGAGTTCACGCAAAGATCGATGCGGTTCACCTTGGTAACAAAAGAGTGATGGCAGGCGACAGGTTGCTGACATAAGACCAGCAACTAGCAGTGCGGAGCTGGACAAGGCGATTGTGGCCATGGAAGCGCTGGGCCACAACCAATACCAGAACCCCCCACATACGCGGAAAGAAGTCCTCTCCCCCTGCAGGCGCACCATGATGACACTTCCCGAAAGAAGTCGCCCCCCCCCCCGCAGCCCTCCACCCCCGAAAGAAGTCCAGCTGCCCAGCACCAGAACCCCCCGCAACACGCAGCAGGCGCCGATCTCTGGAGCTATATGCGTCCCTGCGCAGCCCAGACTGGCGACGCTGCTCCGTGCACGCCCCACGGCGACGGGGCTTCGACCTCCCCCCGACCCCCCCCCCAGCACCAGGACCCCCCGCAGCACGCAGCGGGCGCCGATCTCTTGAGCTATATGCATCTCTGCGCAGACGTCGCCGATGCCTCGCCGACGCATCGCCGATGCATCGGCGATGTATCGCCGATGCATCGGCGATGCGACGCGATCCTCCGACCCCCATCCTACCTCGGACCCCATCCGGGAGGCCTATAGAAGGCACGCCCCGCCGCGACGGGCCCTCGGCCTCCCCCCGGGCCCCCCCTGGGGGACCCCGCGACGCCACGGCCCCGCCGCTCCGGCCAGGCCCCCCCCGGGGTGCCCGCGGGGCCGCGCAGCCCGGGGCCCTCCGCAGGCCGGATGGGGAGGACGGAAAGGACGATGCCATGCATGCGATCTGCAGTGGGCTCGCGTGTGCGGGAACACCTCACAGCGACGGGCGTACACATCGGTTGGAAAAAGTAGGCAAAAACATGAAGTAGGAAGGCGGATCGAGTAGATTGGGTTCAGGCCCTCTCAGAGAATAGCAAGCACAGCAAAAACATATCGACTCTTGAAGTAGGAAGGCGCTTGACATAGATTGGGAACTGGGAATCCAAATATACCTACTTTCGACGACCAGTGTGCATGTGTACGGCAATGATCACGCAGGCAGCATGTGAGAGAGGGCATCAACCCTTGAAGAGGCCAGGCCTTGACAAGACGTAGTACAGAGGAGAGCAAATCAAGGACGGCGAGAAAGCTTTACACCATGGCTGGTGGAGAAAACGCAGGTTGCCTCCGATAAATCTTCTACGCCACAATGCTGCTGTAAAAACTCCTGACAGAACGGTTCATGGCAGTGCACCACAATAACGAAGAACCTGGTCAGACAACTCACATGCGATGTTAACGTACTCGGTCACTCTCTCGAAGGGGGATCCCGACAGAACTTAGTGAAGCCTCTCCAGCGCTCTGCGAACTGCGAACACCAGATTGTTGCTCGAGCGCGGCGTCAATTCAGAGGCAAGCGATCTGGATCCACCTTCTCAAAATCCGCCCCCGACCTCCAGACACGCGTTCGGAGCAGGACTTCTGGGCGGATCCACACGGCAACGGGGGCCCGACAGGAGGCAGAAGCATGAGCATCGCCTCGTGCCATATCCTCGCCAATCCGCTCCTCATCAACTGCCCGTTCCGTGCTCCAGAGCGGGTCCCTTACTGAAGGGGCCCTGGGACACACAAATAAATACACACAAATAACAAGATTCCCCATATTTTCACATATTTTCTGTGTTTCTGTCTTCCCCCCCACTTCCCATATTTTCCCATATTTTCCAGGGGATCGAGGATTAATTGTGTCTGTGGTTCTTTCCCTCCTGATTTACATCGTCGGCACCCAGACGCCTCCAGAACACAAGTTCGACCTTCCCCACGTAGCAGGCTACAGCCATGTCGGCAAAGGCACCCCTGTGAGACTGGCTCTTACAGACCAAAACAAGCGAAAAAGAGTACGGGCTTGTCTTTCACGGAGTGGAGAAGCCCCACAAGGCATGAAAGCTAACTCACATCCACCAGATTCTTCATATCCTCTCTCCCTCCTGCTGTCACCTCCCCATCCTGCCCCCGAGCCTATCATCGCGACACTTGTGCTACTGCGGTTGCCGCTGACTATCGACATGGACAAACAAACACACACACATATTGATCACGCACGCCACTGGACATGATAGGGCCAACCCGCTCTACTTGTCTGCGCCGTGTCAGCTGGCAACTGCTGCTTGTTTGCGCATGTGCTTACGATCGCGCTTGTTTGCGCCTTATCCCTCGTGCTTGGATGCATTTGCACGTGTGAGCACGGGAGAGCGCAATGCAGGCGTGCAGAGCAGCGCGAAGGATGCGCGCCAACACGCAAGCAAACGCTTGCTCCAGCCGTGGCAAAACGATGCTGGCAGGTAGACAGGTCGGGTTGTGTGGCTTCACCGGCAAGAGAGGATGGCCGAGTAGGAGGCTGCCAATTGGAGGTGGTATGCTGGGGGTGAGAAGGAGGAAGGGGGAAACCAGGGAGGAACACGAAGGAAGGAAGAGGAGGCAGGGTCTGAAAAGGTCCGATAAGGAAGATGGAGCCCTGCACGTGGGTATACACACGTGTACAGCTATACATTTAGATCCCCTTGTGCTCATACATACGTATATTAGTATGATGTGTTACGTCGTCAGTTTTTTCGTTTATAAAAGTTGTTTCTCTCTCTCTCTCTTTCCTATCTCCTCTCTCCTCCTGTTCCTCTTCCTTTTCTGGCAGATTACAATTGATGATTACGCGTCCTCTTCCTCCTCCTCCTCCTCCTCCTCCTCCTCTTCCTCCTCCTCCTCTCACATTATCCTCTCCTCTCCTCTCCTCCTCCTCCTTCTCCTCCTCCTCCTCCTCCACCTCCTCCTTCTCCTCCTCCTCCTCCTCCTCCTCCTTCTCCTTCTCCTGTCCATTATCCTGTTCCTTTCGCCTTATCATCATTTTCCCGTATTGTTGCTCCTCTTCTTCCGGAGGTCGATTGTTCTTGCATTTTCCATGAGCAGGGCAACTTGTATTAATTCTGTTGTTTTCCAAAAGTGTCAGCCGTTTCGTTCCCGCGGCGCCCCCCGCCCCGCACCAAGGCGAGACCATGAATCATGACACACACACACACATGCAACATATTGGAACACCTGAGCGGCAAAAGGACAGATATCGTGGGGCAAAACGTATATATATATATATAAAATCGAGGGCGGGGAGGAAATACTATGTAAACGAAACTCCGCCCATGCCCGATTGGAAACAGATTTCTTTACTGGTAGATGCCAAAAGGATGCCGTCTGTTTTCGTTCTTGGGCGCGATACATTAAATCCTTGCGTGGCGGCTTACGACCATATTCCATTTGTAACAGGGCACATCGGATCCCCTTCTTGTGGCGGAGTGCACAAGGATTTCTTGTGTGGCGGGCAAACAACACTACTCGACTTCAACATGCACGTTCCCTCGTCTTTCCTGGGGGGGACCCGTTGTTCTGTGTATACTTCCATCTGCAAGGCCGCGTGTGACTATTTGGCAACATGTCCATGCCAATGATTCCATGTTGCCCTGCCCATTCGTAATCGCGGCGCCCCTCTCGCCGCGCCCGCGCGTGCCCCCCCCCCAATCCCCTTTCAAAAGGGCTCCTGCTGCGATGGGGTTCAGGCGTTGATTCCTGGCGCGTGGAATATACATCACATACTTTCAAGCATCGAGTTTTACACCAGGGCTCTTTGCGCTGGAAATTTGCTAACTAATTGCCGTGCGTCTGTGCGTTAGAGATGAAACCCGTTGTTCGGTTTGACGCGAGATTTCCGTTTGCTGAAGATTTGCACACCAATCCCCTGTGCCTCTGGCGCAGCGCCCTCGCCTGCAGCTGCCTGGCGCTTGAGCCCCCTTCCAAGGCAACGCTCGCGCCGTTCAGCCTCTTGCCCAGTGGCTTGGTCTCGCCCGCGAGCCGCGCCCTCCCCTCCAACTGTGCCAGCGGCGATGCGCGAACGATCTCGCCCAGAACTTCGAGCGCCGCCAGCGCCGTCTCCACCCGCGCGGTCGGTGCGGCCAGGGCAGAGCGCGCGGGCCCTGATGCGGCAGCGTCGGGCGCCTCCATCGGGGCAGGCGAGCTCGGCGCAGCAGGGGCCGCAGTCCATGGCGACGCCATCATGGCCCCCGGCGTGGCCCTCTGAAGCTTGGCGGCAAAGTCCGCGAGCTACTTATTGATCGGAGATGCTGTGCCGATCCTGGAGAAGTCGCCGAAATCGCCGCCGTTGCCGCGTCCGCATGCCGCATTTACCGCGCGCATTCTCGGCGTGGTTGCTGCTCTGGCGCCCCGCGCAGCCCGGGGGCCGCGTCGCGCTCTTCTGCTGGCCGCCGCGCTGACCAATGAAATGAGACTCGCGAATATCCATGCCCAATTTGCCCCCTTCTCCATTGCGCCATCGACATGGCCCGCTGGGTCGGCGCGAGCCCAGCAAATCTGACTGGAGGGCCTCGCACAGAGGGCGTGGACTGACGATCGACGCATGGCAAGCTGGCGCGGCTTCCGCTGGAGCCAAACCTAGAATTCATACATATAACAGCGCGCCGGGACCCGGGCCCCCGGCGCCGCGACCTCTACCTCGCATGCGCGTGCGCGGTGGTCCAGGACCGGATCTGGGGGGCCTATGATCGCCCCAGGGAGCCCTCGGACAGCAAACCCGGCAGCCCCAGACGGTCTCGAGAAACCCCAAAGGCGCACCCCCGGGGTCCCAAGCGACGCGCGACGCGTTTTACACTGCCCCGGAGGCCCCCAAGACGCCCCAATTGGCCTTTTCAGGTGCCGCCCAAGACCGCCCCTTCAGGGCAAATCGTTGATTTTCATTCGTTTGGTTTCAATGTGTTTTGCGTTCTCGCTGCTCCGTGTTTCCGGCGCTAAAGCACCGCCCCAGAGGCTCTCAAGACCGCTCCAGGACGGCCCAAGAGGCACCCGAGAGGGCCCCGAGACGGCCCAAGAGAGCCCCGACACGTCCCTAGAGCGCCCAAGACGGCGCAAGAGGGCCCCAAGAAGTCCGAGAGGGGCACAGGAGAGGGGGCGCGAACTAAAAAATCAGGCCCCCCGCCTTAAGATATCCCCAAGAGGCCCCACGTGGCCCTCAGGACCCCCCCCGAAAGCCATCCGGGAGGCCCCAAGAGGCCCCCGAGAAACCCAAGGCTCCGAGGCCCCCAGACGGCACCCAAAGGTTTCGAACTCTTTCTAAGAGGCCCCAGAAAACGCACCAAGAAGGTCCCGCGACGACTTCGGGAAGCAGCCCGGGGCGCTCCGGAGAGGCCCCGCGAGGCCCCCGCGAGAACCCGAGAGGCCCCCATGAGGCCCCCGAGAAGCCCGCAAGCGACCCCAAGCAGCATGCAGGAGGCCTTTCTCTTTCTTTCTAGCTCATGAGGACCAGATCCGAAGGAGAGCACCGGCCACGCAGAATCTAAGCGAAATGCGAAGCGCTCTCAGCTGCCCACGGGGTTGTTCCCTGAGGGGGCTTAACCTACGAAGCCGACGTAAAGTGCGAAAAGATGCGATCCACTCTCGGCCAGAGGCCGCGCGGACCCCGCCGGCACAAGCCCGATGCACGCAGCGCCCTGAAGGCTCGGCTGGCCTCAGGCACGCAGACCCTTGCCTTTGCTGGGACCTTTGTCTCTCGGGCGACCAGTTTTCCCCTTTGCCCCCTCCACGCGGCCTCCTAGGGGCATTTACTGTCGGAGGGCCGCCCAAAAAGTTCGGGGGATCAGGAACTGCCTGCTGCGCATTCGGACATTGAGCGCGGTGGTAGCGGGGTGGGGGGGGGGCCGAGGGCGAGGGCGGAGGAGCAGAAGGGGCAGGGGGGAGAACAAAACCTCTTGACCTCAGCTCAGCCAAGCGCGAACTCGCCCGTAGAACTCTCGGGGGTCCTTCTACTTCTTCGCGTGCTCGTCCACGCACTTGCTGCGGACCCGCTCGAGCGGGCCGCGTGGTGGGGCGCCCGCCAGCCTCTTGCCGCCCTCGAACTCCACGAGCTTGATGAGCCGCTGCTGCACGACCGTGCCGCGCTGGTGGCGAGGGTCCACGTGCCACATCAGCGCGCACATCGGCGTCGTGCCCTCTTCTTGTGCACCTTCACCCTGAAGTGCGTGATCAGCTGACCGACTGCGTTCGGGCCGTCGCACTTGCTCAGCGCCTCGTTGAAGAACTCGAGCATCCCCGCGCTCAGCTTGGCCTCCTCTGCTTGCGTAGACCCTGCCGCCGCCGCCCTCGTTGCTCCGTAGCCGAAAGCTGCCGTGAATATCT